ATTGTAAATACTTAAGCATCTTTGCTTATGCTTAAGTACACTTTAAAAAAAATCTTTGCAAATAAGCTGGTAGTTCTTAGTTTCTAAGAATAAACTTTTTCCTGTGACCTAGAGGTACAAAATTGAACCTAATTGGGAGAAGTAAAGTGCTGTCCTCCTCCTCTTTTATTTAAATTGGAATTTAGAATGACCAACCATTCATGAGTAAAAGGGAGATTAAAAAAGAATTATTACCAACATTTGTCATAAAAACCAAATAATTTGGGAATACATAATGGAAGTTAAAGGACTCTTTCTTCCTAGATGTAACTATTGTTAATATCTCAGGTTGTATCTTTCTAGACTTTACATTCTCCATATACACTACCATAAATAACATCTGTTTTATATTACATCTTCTATTTTAGTTTTTTTTTTAAGTGCTTTTTAAAGTTTTTCCTTTGTAAAATAAATGTTGTTTGGGGGGAACTCTAAATATCAATCTCTTCCAACAGAACTTCCTCAACAATTTCCAAACTGCCAAAGAAGCTTTGAGCACAGCCACAGTCCAGGCTGCAGAAAGAGCTGCTTCCAGCATGAAGGACTTGGCTCAGAAGAGTTTCCGCCTTTTGATGGATATCAACCTGAAAGCACCAGTTATTATCATTCCTCAGTCTTCAGTATCACCTAATGCTGTTATAGCTGATCTGGGTTTAATCAGAGTTGAAAACAAATTTAGCTTAGTTCCTATGGAACATTATTCTCTTCCTCCAGTTGTTGACAAAATGAACATCCAACTTACTCAGTTGAAGCTGTCCAGGTATAAATATATAATCCAACTGCGTCTATTACTTACTAGAAACAGAATTTTCATAGTATCTTTGCCAGGGGTAAAATATTCTTATCTGTGGGTCTCATTCCTTATTTCTTATAATTATGAAACCTTGACCATTGATTTTTGGTCAGTGGTTAATAGTAGTGCACCCCATAGAATCTTCATTTGTCTTGGTTTGTAATGTGATTTTTGTCCATTCTATTAAAATTTCCTATTATTAAATTATAGCTTATTCAATAATACTTAATTTAGATTTATTTATCTTTTTTACTTTGCATATAGCCATTTTCTGTAGATGGGAAAAATCTGAAAATTTAATAAAACTTAAGATTTACCTCTCATTTCCCAACTTTGTCACATTTCAGAATTTTCAGTGAGGTAGCTAAAGGATTATTCGTTCCAAATAGAAAGTGTTGGTTCTGTTGAATGATAAGCATACTTACTTGGTTATGCAAATGGCTGTTGGTAGACAAGTTCAAAATGACAATTATTATATATTTAAATTCTAGGATTGGTGAGTTTTTCCCTTTGATTCTGGAACACTATCAATAACAAAAAACTAAAGACTAAATAAGAGTATTACTTTCTTTGTCCTTCAACTTGAGGAGGACAAACCTTTGTATGCCATTTCACTAGTTGCTAATATTAGTCTTTATGAAAGATAAATAGTGTAAAAGTCAGACTTTATGAAATTTGTGTATTTGAAATTAGCATTACATAAGCTTTCTTTGTTTTAAATAGCTGTATGTAATTCATTTTGATTTGGATTGATGTGTGAAACAAAGCACGTTCTAAAAGAATTCTGATAGCAGCCTTTCGTGTTTAGGAAAATGCTGGGTGGAAACTGTTACACAGTATGACAGTCTTCATTTTAAAATGTGAATTTCAAAAATATAAAATAAATTCTTGTTTGTCTTTCAGAACTGTTTTGCAGACTGGCTTGCCACAACATGACATTGAAATTTTAAAACCAGTCAACATGCTTTTGTCCATACAGCGAAATTTAGCAGCAACATGGTACAAGCAAATTCCAGGGATGGAGATAAAAGGAAAACTAAAACCTATGCAGGTAAGTATATGTATAAGATGTGTGAAAATTGCTAGGTAGGCTCTTGTTATGGATTAGAGTACCATTCTCGTGTGCATCACAAGTGATTTATATTTTAAAAGGGAATACCCTGTTAAATGAAGTCATTCTACTTTCCCATACTTTTCTTTATTTCATTTTAGTCAGACATTTGGTAAAGTCAGCAAGTCTGAGATAAATCTACTGAAAAGATTATTAGTAATTTTGGAAAATTTAAGTTTTAAGGCAGTTAAATTGTAAGACTGATATTTAGATACCATATTCAAAGCACTAATAGTATTTTTAGGGTATAGAAGCACCATTTTAGTTAGAAAAAGGGACATTTTAAATAGGTGAATATGTTTATTTGGTGAGGATGTAAATACAGCAGTAGTTATAATAATGTAGTTACCAGGCCATTTGTAGGCTCACAGGAAGAGATGATACTGGTTGAAGATAGGAAGTATAGGAATCCTGTGGTTCTTGTGGGCCTGTTCGTGAAACTGTTGAAGCCAAATAGTAGGGCATATGTAGGGGAGGGAGTAACTAAACAAATAGAGTGTGTGAAAAACAAATAAAAATTGAGTAGTTCATGGGTTTTTGGTATTTGTGATAATTTCATAATCAGTTCTAAGATAAAATAGGAAGGTCAAAGGAGTATAGTTTTACTAAGGAAGAAGTTAAAATTGAAGTTTGTTTTAGGAATAAAAGGTTTCTGTGTGTGGTGTGAGTACATGTATGAGCAAACCTGTCTATTTAGGGTATTTTATAGAGACTTCTCTCTTCCAAAGTATGAGACTCTTTTAATTTCCCCCTTACTGTTAAGAGATTAGATTCCAGGACAAATATTTGACATTTTTTTTTCCTTTCAAAGATTGTGTGGTTATAGGTTTGTTGAAAGCAAAAGAAAACCTAAATGAGTACCAGTAGGTGACTATGGA